CCCTGGACCGGGTGGCTTAAAACTTACGCTGGGCACGTGTGCATGCGTGCCCAAGATCCCAAGAGGAGAATGGAGGAGAAGGGATTGCGGCGTGGCCATCCCCCCTCACTTTCTGTCTCTCTGTCTCTCTCTGTCTGGCGAGTGCATGCGCCCTATAGCAAAAAAAAAACCTCTCGAAAAAAAAAAAAAGAAAGTATTCTACTAAATCTCTCTCTTTTTGTTTTTTAAGAGGTTTTTGTCTTATGGTGTGTGTGTTCACCAGAGAGAGAAAAAGACACAGTGAGAGGGAAAATGAGAAATCACCCCCCAAGGGGGATGGCCACACCACAATGCCTTCTCCCTCCTTCTGCTCCCAGGATCTTGGGCATGCACGCATATACACCTGGCGTGATTTTGATGCTACTGGGTCTAGGACTCAAACGGTGGTCAGCCATGTAGGAGTCAAGCGACATAACAGCTACACCATCTGCTGTTCTCTCCACTAAATCTTTTCAATGGAAAGAACTACAGAGAGAGAGGGACCAGCAGAGAGGGTAGTGGCTATGTCGCTGGAATTCCATGTAGCTGACCGTGGTTCAAGTCCTGGATCTGGTGGCTTAAACTCACGCCGGGCGCATGTACGTGCATGCCCAAGATCCTGAGAGGAGAATGGAGGAGAAGAGATTGTGGCATGGCCATCCCCGAGAGGGGATGTATGTGTATATATATATATATATATATATATATATATATACACACACACACACACACACACACACACATACATCCTCTTTTATATATATATTTGGTCCCTCTCTGGTCAAGATTAAAATAAGTAAATAAATAAAGTTAAATAATTCGTTAAAAAAACAATTGAGAATGCTAAAGAAGACAGAAAGTATAATCAAAGGTCAGATCATCCCTCTGTTGCTCCTACTACCTGATAATACCCACAAGGGGAAGATGAATTTAATCTCCCTTTCTTGAACTCAGAAAACCTAATTACCAGTGTTAATGTTCCAAAATTGATGGAAATAGGTGTAACAAATTTTATCCTCTTTGTCATCAAGATTATTTTTTTGACTGTCTATTACTGTGATAATATTTTTACTATTATCAGTATCATGTTGGCTGGTACTTCCCCAGTTTTAAGACTTAAAATAACCTGCTTTAAAAGTCTACTTCTAGGTATGTATTTAATAGATATTCCTTTATATGTTCACCAAAAGACATACAGGAATGTTTGCAATAGTACTACTTACAATAAAGATTAGAAACAGCTCAAATGTCCATCAATAAGAGAATTAATAATGATGCATTAATATGATGGAACACTCCACATAACACATAATAAGAATGAGCAAAGTAAGGGACCAGCAGATGGTGTTAATAGTTACACCCTCCCATGAAGTTGACCGTGATTTGAGTCCAGACCCAGGGACTTAAACCTCACACCAAGTGCGTGCTTGCCCAAAATCCTGAGAGGAGAATTAGAGGAGAAGGGACTGTGGTGTGGTCATCCCCTCTGAGGGGTGATTTCTTGCTTTCCATCTGGTGAGCGCATGTGCCCTATAGCAAAAAAATCCTTCTTAAAAAAACAAAACAAAACAAAAAATGAGCAAACTACAACTGTATACAACAATATAGGTGATCCTTATAGATATACTATTGGGGAGGGAAAGTCAGACAGAAAAGGATATACAACTTGTTATGGACATTTTTAAAAAAAGAATTACTTAATTTTATTTGTTGTTGTTGTTGCTATTATTATTAATTTGACCAGAGAGAGAAAAGGAAGGTGAGAAAACAAGCTACTAGGTCTGGGACTTGAACCGGTCAGCCATGTAGAGAGTACAGTGCCACTATGCCACCTGCTGGTCCCTCTTTTTTTTTTTTTTTTCCATGTTGACAGAGGGCACATATGCTTGCTGGAAAAAAACAGAGATGGGTGTGAGAAAGCATTCCTTAAGGGGAATGGTCATGCTGCAAACCCTTCTCCATTTTTCTCCCTTCTTTTGGGATTTTGGGCACACATACACAAATTTGGCTTTTTTTTTTTTTTTTTAAAAAAAAAGAGAGAGGGACAAACAGAGAAATAGAGAAAGTGAGAAATTACCTCCTCAAGAAGGATGGCCATCTTGCAATCCCTTCTCTACCATTTTCTTCTTGGGATTCTGGGCATAGACGCACACACGCCCAGTGAGAGGTTTAAGCCACTGGGTCTGGGACTCAAACCATGGTCAACTATATGGGAGTCCAGTGATGTAACCATTATGCCATCTACTGGTCCTTTTAACATGTTTTTCAAGCCATTAGGTCTGGACCTTGAACTGTGCAACTGGCCAGTTGTGGGATCCAGTTACCTTAACCACCATACCACACGGTGGCTCAGCTTCAGTGCTTCTTCCTAGGGTCTGAATATGTTCCCCGTTGTTCATGTGTTGAAATTTGTTTACTGTGAAGGTGTTAGAATAGCAGAAGCAACAGGATTATCATGTTGAGAAGTGATGCTTTTGGGAGATGATCAAAATTAAATAGGGTTGACGTTCAGGGACCAAAGTGACTAAAGTAATACTCTAAATCTCATCTCCTAGAACCCCGAAACACTCAGACAAGAAGCCATTTTAAATCTGAGCTGTGTCCTGGCACGTTCAGGGACCAAGGTGACTAAAATTGTGCTCTAAACCTCATCTCCTAGACCCCCGAAACACTCAAGAGAAGCAGGGGAGTGATTGTGTCACAGGATGACCAGAAACCACTGCAGAGGCACAAGAAATATGAGAAACCAAGAAAATATTTCTCCCCTAAGTGAAAAGAACACTCCTTCATCATACACAGATAGTACAATGGAACTTGTGGAACTTCTGAATATTCATAGTGACAAAACTAAATGAGACACAAAAGCTAAGAAGCAATGAACTCCAGAAGATGCAGTAGAAAAGAGATGAGTTCCAGGAGGTGAGGAAGTTCTTGCACGATCTGAAGGAGGAAATACACACCATAAAAAAGAATCAAATAGAGCTGTTAGAGATGAAGGCTGAAATATGGGAAATCAAAACCTCCCTCAAAAGTATTAAAAGATTTGGGACCAGCAGTTAGCGTAATGGCTATGTCGCTGGACTCCCATGTAATTGACCGCAGTTCGCATCCCAGACCCAGGGGCTTAAAACTCATGTCGGGCACGTGTGCGCTTGTGCCCAAGATCCCGAGAGGAGAAGGGATTGTGGCATGGCCATCCCCCCTGGAGGGGTGATTTCTCGCTTTCTGTCTCTCTGTCTCTCTCTGTCTGTCTGGCGAGCGCACACGCCCTATAACAGAAATCTCTTCAAAAAAAAAAAAAAGTATTAAAAGATTAGTCCATGCAGAAGATCGAATCTCAGATGTCAAAGGCAAAACCTCTGACCTAGAAAAAAAACAACCAAAAAAACTGAGAAAATAAAAAACAAAATGAGAATACTGTATGAGAAATACTAGACACCATTAACATCCGTATAATCGGTATCCCAGAAGGTGAGGAGACTAATAAAGGCATTGATAATCTAATCCATAAAATCCTGAATCTAGAGAGGCAATCAAATATCCAGACCTAAGAAATACAAAGGACCCCTAACAGAATCAAACCAAGATCTTCTCCAAGGCACATCATAGCCATATTGGCCAAATCCACAGATAAAGACAAGATACTAAAATTGGCAAGAGAGCAATGTCAGGTTATTTCTAAAGGTTATCTCATCAGGCTAACATCAGACCTCTCATCTGAAACAATGTGAGGAAGGAGAGAATGGGAAAATACATTCAAAGAGTTAAGTGAAAAACAGTTTCAACCAAGAATACTATATCTGGCAAGATTATCCTTCATATAGGATGAAAAGATAAAAACATTCTCATATAAACGAAGCCTGAAAGAATTTACCAACACCAGACCAGCTCTTCAAGAAGCTCTGAAAGGAGTCCTTTACCAGATAAACTAAAGATATGCATACAGAAATAAGAGAACAAAAAGCAACCAAGAAAATGACTAACTTAATGCTAGGGACAAGAAATATCAATAATAAATGTTGAATGTTAACTTCCAGGATTTACATGGAAAGATCGGACCACAGTAACACTGTAAATTCAACAGAAGAAAGATTAATTATGTTAGACTGAACTGGTGAAATACAATTTTATGACTTCTGAGTAAAACATTACTGTCTTTTTCTTTACTATGCTTTGTTTTTCCAATTTAAGGATTTTGCTTTCTGTTGAGCTGTTGAAAGGTTTAGCAATCAGTTAAAATGTTTTTTTTTTTTTCTTGTTTGTTTCTTTAAATGGAAACAAACTTTTCTCCCTATCTGACCCCTCTGGAATTGGAAAATATTTGGGAGTTTTCTTATTTTGTGGCAGAATGGTTATTTGCATAAGTTCAGTAATACCTGTTGCCTTGAATCAGAAATTGGAAATACACATTATTGGACAGGGCTTTGACTGGAATGTCTTACCTGAAGATTAAACCAGTAAACTATGACGTGAAAGTAAATCTCAAGTAAGCCAATGGAAGCTCTTGGAAAGATGGTCTGGCACCATAAACAGTTCTGCCTGGCAGAGAGGACTGGAGAAGCAATATGAAAAAATTCATAGTATAAAATAATCTGGACTTTTCCAGTCCAGCACTATAGTCAGTAGAGACTGCAAAAGAGCAGCCCAACCAGAGGATTATTTTGAGGAAGACTTTGAATGAAGAAAAAGAGATTGATCTTTGCTAGCAGATGGTATTATCACATAATACTTGGTAGGCAGGGCTAAATTCAGAGTTTTTGTGTGAATTGTGTGCTGGGTGTTTGCTTTTCAACAGTTTTAGTAGTTGACATGTAACTATTTTCTCAGAAATATTTAAAACCATACTGTCTTTGTTATAGAGCCACAAACAAAATTATAACAAGTATTTTGAACATTATCTTTAAAATTCAGTTTTTTGAAATTTTGAGTTATTTAGTAACTATCAAGAACTATGGAGTTTGAGCAAAAATTCTTTGCTTGTAAAGTAAATGTTTGGGGGAAAATGTAAAAATAAATAAATAAAAGATTAGGGGAGATAAAAAAAAAAAAAGATCAGATAGGGTCATCAGGATAGAGCCCCCATGATTGAATCCTGGTGGTTTTAGAGGAAAAGAACCAGAGCTGAAAGACAGGCAAGCTCTGCTGTGTAAAGCCCTGCACTTCCTTGGGACTCTGCAGAGAGTTCCCACCAACAAAAAGATCCTCTGTAGATGCAACCCCTTGACCTTGTACCACAAAGTCTTAAGTTAATAAACCTCTATTCTTTATAAATTACTCAGTATAGTATCCAATTGTTAGCAAAAAAAAAAAAGAAAAAAAAAGTGGACTAAAACAATTATATATAATTCTAAAGGAAGAAAAATGAACTTCCTAGTTACCTTGGGGGAGGGGAGGCAGTGACTGAAAAATGGCAGGATAGAGCTTCTGAGGTTCTGGTAACAATGGCAAGTAAATAAACATAAAACAAGTAAAACCAACCCAGATATATTTAAAAAAAAACAGGTTGAAACAATTTAATAGATTTATATTGCCACTATAGTTACAAAAGCAAGATTATTTTACCATTACAAGTTTTCTGATATGATCATATTTAAGAACTACTTTCTAGATTACATTAAAGAATGAGGGAAAAAAAGAAATATTATCTTTTTATTTATTACTTTTTTTTTGGAGAGGTTTTTGCTATAGGGCGCGTGTGCTAGCCAAAAAGACAGACAGAAAATGAGAAATCACCCCGAAGGGGGGATGGCCACACTGCACTCCCCTCTCCTTCATTCTCCTCTCTAGATCTTGGGCACACATGCACACGTGCGTGGCGTGAGTTTAAGCCACCAGGTCCGAGACTCGAACCACGGTTGACTATGGGAGTCCAGCAACATAGCCATTACGCCAACTGCTGGTCCCAGAAATATTATCTAAAAATGAATTTATGAGCCCAGCTGCTGGGACACAGCAGCAGTAACATGAGTGCCCTTCAAGCCTGGAAGGCATGTGGCTGATCATAGGTTCAGACACCCAGACACAGGCACTGAAGATTTTAAAGAGGTAGGAGGCTGGGAAAAGGGAATTATGGTATTGTAAGACCCTGTTGAGGGTCCTTTTCTCTTTCTCTCTAGTGCATATGCACTATTATTTTTAAAAAATTATGAAAAGCGATGTGAGAGTTCCTCATAGAATTATCATAAAATTCAACAATTCTGAGTATAAAATCAAAATTACTGAAAGGAGGGACTCAAAGCCCATGTTCATAGCAGTAGCAGTATTACTCACACTAGCCAAAAGGTAAAAATAACCCAAAGATCCATCAACAGATGAATAGATAAACAAAATGTGGTATATGCATATAATATTATCAGTCTTAAAAAGCAGTGGGACCAGCAATTAGCATAATGGCTATGTCCCTGGACTCCCATGTAGTCGACCATGGTTCTAGTCCTGGACCCGGTGGCTTAAACTCACGCTAGGCGCATGTGCATGCGTGCCCAAGATCCCGAGAGGAGAATAGAGCAGAAGGGATTGCGGCGTGGCCATCCCCCCTGGGGGGTGATTTCTCGCTTTCTGTCTCTCTCTCTCTGTCTTCTGGCAAGCACACGCGCCCTATAGCAAAAACCTCTCCAAAAAAAAAGCAATGAAATTCTGACACATGCTACAACACAGAACCTTGAAAATAGTACACTGAGACAAGCCAGACACAAGAGGACAAACATGAGACCCCACTTACATGGGGTATCCAGAATAGTCAAACTCACAGAGACAAAAAATAGAATGAACACTGTCAGGGGGCAGAGGGAGGAGATGGTGAATTATTATTTAATGGGTACAGAGTTTTTGTTTGGGATGATGAAAAAGTTCTGGAAATGGATGGTGTTGATGGCTGCACAGTGATGTGAATGTATTGAATGCCAATGAATTGTAGACTAAAAATTTTAAAACCGTACACTTTATGTTATGTATATTTTAACCACAATTAAAAAGTTTCTTTACCTTTTATCCAAAGCTCTCAATACTTTAGCAAAAACTTCCAATTCGCAAAATTCACTGCCCAGTTGACATAAGCGTCCCTGTTGGTAAAGCTAAAATAAAAAATGAAAAAATAATTATTTAAAAATTTTAAAATATAATTTAAACTTCTTTTTGAATTATATTCATGAATATAATTTGATGAATTTAATACTAGATAAATTTCATAAGAATGATTCCAAATAAGTATAATTACACGATAGTATCAGCCAAGATTCTTATGCTAAGAGAAATGTTAACACTAACAAATTTCCATGATTAATATAAAATCATTTAAAAAGTTATATTTAATTGCTTGAATATTTATAAAACGCTTAAAACAGGACCCAGAACACGGTTAAGGACATAAAGTACTACATAATTATATATTACATAAACACAAAAACCATTATATTATAGTGTCTAGTAGTCCAAGATGGCAGAGTATCTTATCATGTCATAACCCTTTATAATTCTGACTTTTCTAACTGCTACTTAAATAACGTTTTAATAAATGTGTTAAATGTTCACCTCAAATAACACATGAACATGGTTAAAAAAAGACAAATACTGGGACCAGCAGTTAGCGTAATAGCTATGTCGCTGGGCTCCCATGTAGTCGACTGCGGTTCAAGTCCCAGACCCGGCAGCTTAAACTCACGCTGGGCACTTGTGCATGCGTGCCCAAGATCCCGAGAGGAGAATGGAGGAGAAGGGATTGCAGCGTGGCCATCCCCCCTGGGGGGTGATTCTCGCTTTCTCTCTCTGTCTCTCTCTGTCTGGCGAGTGCACGTGCCCTATAGCGAAAAACCTCTCCAAACAAACAAATAAAAAGACAAATACTATTGCCCTTTAGCTCCTTGCTTAAAAATTTCATCAAATAAATGCTTTTGAATTTACATATATAATTAAAACACAGTCCCATAGAAGACAAAAATGTCATATCAAAAAAAAATTGGGGCGGGGGAGAACCAAGCAGATAGCTTAATGGCTATATCTCTGGACTCCCATGTAGTTGACCACAGTTCGAGTCCTGGACCCGGTGGCTTAAACTCACACCGGGCGCGTGTGCGTGTGTGCCCAAGATTCCAAGAGAAGACTAGAGGAGAAAAGGTTGCGGTGTGGCCATCCCCCTGGGGGTGATTTCTCGCTTTCTGTCCCTCTGTCTCTGTGTCTTTCTGGCAAACGCATGTGCCTTATAGCAAAAACCTCTCCAAAAAAAGAAAAAAAAAATTTTTAAGGTTTTTGACAGAGGGCACGTTTGCTTGCTGGACAAAGACGGAGAGAGAAAGTGAAAAATCATCCCCTCGGGGGGGATGGCCACAGCTCAATCCCCTCTCTTCTATTCTCCAGGGATTTTGGGCAAGCATGCACACATGCCCAGTGTGATTCTTCAAGCTGTCAAATCCGGAAACCAAACCTCAGTCGGCCAGTGGGAGTCCATTACCTGCTGGTCCCAAGAATGCCATATATTAATTCAGTTTATACTACAGGCACTTAACATTTAGCGAGTTGAGAAAATAGGTTTCAAAAAAGGACAAGATCTAGAATTCATTCTACAAAAGGGCCACTTAATTTTACTTTGCACTGAGAAAACATTCTGCAAACTCAAAACACTCTTGGGCATAGTTATTAAACCACAATGGAGACCAGGCTAAAAAAAATGTTTTTAATGGAGATCCTGTGATTACTGCAAAAAACCCATAATCATGCTGGAAGGGAGAAGAGACATAGAACATGACATGTTTTTTTTTTTTGAGAGGCTTTTGCTACAGGGCGCGTGCGCTCGCCAGACAGACAGAGAGAGAGAGAGAGACAGAAAGCGAGAAATCACCCCCCAGGGGGGCTGGCCACGCCGCAATCCCTTCTCCTCCATTCTCCTCTTGGGATCTTGGGCACGCATGCACACGCGCCCGGCGTTGAGTTTAAGCCACCGGGTCTGGGACTTGAACCATGGTTGACTACGTGGGAGTCTAGCGACATAGCCATTATAGTAACTGCTGGTCCACATGTTTAGGAAGGAGAGGCAGAAATTATTTTCAAGTAATAGCTGGATATTCATATTAACATTAAAACCTTCATAAAAAAATATTTGCTGTTCTTATTTCCTGATGCAGAAAATAAGAACTGGAAATGTAAGCAGTAAAATTCATTACTATTAATCACTGTTGTATTTACTTGAGTCTTAACTTACATAGACCGTAACTAAGGGAATATAAAACGGAGAATTTGCGATCAAAGTCCTATTTGTGAGTTTACTAATATGATAAATTTCTGATTTGAGGCAAACAAACATAGCTATCAAAATAAACTAAGAACATACCCCAAAAACATTAAGACAAAAATCTTAGCTTCTTGGGATGAGGTAGTGGTGCAGCAGTAATGCAACTAGACCCACAGGGAAAGTCCTTGGTTTCCATCCGGAACCTCCCTGTGCATATTAGACACATGCTACCTGCACATTATCCAGGGGACTGAAAGGTAGATCATGGGTGAGACCCTAGGTGTGCTTGTCTCCATCTCTCTCTGATGGAAGAAATATATAATTAAACTTTAAAAACACAGCTTCTGAGACCAGTAGATGGCATAATGGTTACGTTGCTGGATTCCCATGTAGTCGAGCATGGTTTGTGTCCCAGACCCAGTGACTTAAAACTCATGCCAGGCACGTGTGTGTGTGTGTGTGTGCATGCTCAAAATCCCAAAAGGAGAATGAAGAAGGGATTCTGGCATGGCCATCCCTCCAGGGGGTGATTTGTCACTTTCTGTCTCTCTGTCTCTCCAGTGAGTAGTATGACCTATAGCAAAATCTCTTAAACGGGAGGAGGTAGTGCCTAAAGCCAAATCCCTTAAAAAAAAAAAAAAAACAAATAGCTGGGGCCAAGAGGTGGCATGGTGGTTAAGGGTGCTGACCGCAGTTCAAGTGCTGGACCTGGCAGCTTGTTTTCTCACTTTCTCTCTCTCTCTGTCCCTCTCTAACCAAATTAAAAATAAATAAATAAATAAATAAATAAATAGATTGCTTCTTATCAAAATGGCTGATCATCATTACCAAATTTAAGGCACAGAATTTCTTTCATAAGATATAAGAAATGAAAACAGAGAACAGCAGATGGCATAATGGCTATATCACTTGGACTCCCATGTAGTTGACCATGGTTTGAGTCCCAGACCCGATGGCTTAAACTCATGCTGGTCGCGTGTGCATGCATACCCAAGATCCCGAAAGGAGAATAGAGGAGAAGGGATTACAGTGTGGCCATCCAGGGGAGATTTCTTGCTTTCTGTATCTCTCTTTCTGGCGAGTGCATGTGCCCTACAGCAAAAAAAACACCTCTCCAAAAAAAAAAAGGAAAAGAATTAAAAACAAGTTATACAACTACTTTGTCTGTATTACTAAACTTAAGGCACAGAATTTGTTTCATAAGATATAAGAAATCAAAACAAGTTATACAACTACTTTGTCTGTATTCAGTACAGTACTCCTTGGCTTAAGGTAGGTTACATCCTGAAAAACCATAAGTCAAGCCACTGTAAATCAGACAATCGCTAGTTAAAACAACTAAACTCAATTTTCTGTGTTGTACAACCCATACTACCCTTTCAATTACTGAAACTAGTACATCCTACTAAAACGGGATTTGAAAATAGAATTTAGGACAAGTGCTGCCTTAATTACAGTTTGAAGATATGCCCTACTAACAAATAAAGGCATTTTTCTGTACTCAGCTATTTAATTTTCTTAGTTAAAAATGGGCTCATGTTTAAATTGTGGGGAGAGGGTAATGATTTCATGTTTTCAACTCACCCTTACCAAGTTTACCCAAAAAATAAACACACACACATTTTACGAACTACAGGAGTTTTTTTTTTTTTTTTTTTTTTGAGAGGTTTTCGCTGTAGGGCGCGGGCGCTCGCCAGACAGACAAAGACATAGAGACAGAAAGTGAGAAATCACCCCCCAGAGGGGATGGTCACGCCGCAATCCCTTCTCCTCCATTCTCCTCTCGGGATCTTGGGCACGCACGCACACGCGCTCGGCGTGAGTTTTAAGCCACCAGGTCCGGGACGCGAACCGCGGTGGACTACGTGGGAGTCCAGCGACATAGCCATTACGCTAACTGCTGGTTCCCAACTACAGGAGTTTTTTTAATATCAATCTACAATAAAAAACAGCATCTAATCCTTACAGAGATCTTATTTGTACCAAGCACTATTCTCAGTGCTTTTCATAATTTCATGCTGTCCTTTTACAGATGAGGGTACTGAGTCATATAGAGCTAACTAATTGGCTCAAAAGTCACACAATTAGGAAGCAGGAAAGAGGAATCTGACCCCATCCAGTCTGTCCCAACATCCATATCCATGACAACTGAAATTACACTGCCTCTTGAAGATAATAAGACATGGAATTTTTAAAAAGCATACAATGGAAAAATTTAAAGGTTTTTATAGAAATTAAAGAGGTTTAAGGATGAACTCCTTCACAGATTCAAATATCTTATGAAGCACAATTACAGGATTGGAAACCAAAGCTCTACATTCTGGTGAAGATTCTCATATCTAGTAACAATTTTCATAATAGATTTTCTTTTAAGTTTATTTAAATAAATTTCCATGAGCGAGCAAGGCAGTGAGAGAGAAAGAGACAGGTGGATAGCATCCGTAACAGGGTCTTGAACAATTCCACCCCAGCTTCAGCTAGCTCCAGAACCTTTTTTTTTTGGAGAGGTTTTTGCTATAGGGCATGTGCGCTTGCCAGACAGACAGAGACAGAGAGACAGAAAGCGAGAAATCATCTCCCAGGGGGGATGGCCATGCCACAATCCCTTCTCCTCCATTCTCTTCTCGGGATCTTGGGCACGCACGCACACGCGCCCAGCGTGAGTTTTAAGCCACCGGGTCCGGGACACGAACCGCGGTCGACCACGTGGGAGTCCAGCGACATAGCCATTACACTAACTGCTGGTTCCCAAGGAAAGTCTTTCTTAACCCAAGAGATTTTTAATTGGTACTACTGCTTTCCAAGTAAATTCAAAATTATCACAGGCTAAGAGTGAACAGATAATCTTAA